GCGATCCTTCCGCCTCAACCTTCCAAGTAACTGGAACTACAGGCATGTGCTACCACGCCCGGCTAATTTTTTGATTTATTGTAGAGATGAGGTCTCACCAAGTTGCCCAGGTGGGTCTCGAACCCATGGGCTCAGACAGTCCACTCACCTCAGCCTCCCAAAGCGCGGGATTACAGGCTGAGCCACCGAGCCCGGCTATCTAGTTCTGTTCAGGGTGTAATGCCTAGATAAACCATTGAATATGAAACCAGAAAGCAGTTAGTTAGGAGTTGTTTTTCAGTTCAATCTTTCATTGAAAATCAAAAGTTTGGAAAATATATTTAGAGTGGAGGCTTCTCATGACAGAAGAATTCTTAAAGATGGGCTACTTTTGACTCTGAGAGGTGAAACTGAGTTGAAATACTCAAAACCAGGACAACAGATAATTCCATTGAATGTTTTAGGTTGCTTTGCCTTTCTGGCTCTCATAAAAAAGATTAGCAGTTCATATTTTATCTGCATGTTTTTGGTTTATTTCCTCTTGCATTAAATGGTTAATAGCATTGTGTGAATTTAAAAAAAAATTATGGGCCGGATGTGGTGGCTCTCACCTGTGAACCCAGCATGTTGGGAGACTGAGGCAGGATGATTGATAAGCCCAAGACCTTTCTGGGCAACATAGCAAGACCTCATCTCCAAAAAAAAAAAAAGAAAGAAAAAAAATTATGCCCATGACCTAATTTTTTTGTTATTGAAAGCAGTTTTTCTTAGTCTGAGTATGTGTAACATTAGAGATCTGTGTAGAGGCACAGGTTATTGCAATCAGAGGCAGATTCCTATTTGCAAGAATTGTTTTTGAATGTTCAGTTATCTACTTTCCAATTAAGACATCTTCAAAAATGAACAAATTCCATTAAACCAGTAACTCTCATTTTGGTGGATAAACACTTATATTGAGAGAAGAGATTGTTCATTCTGCTTTAGGAGCTGCTAGCAAAGTCTGATGCTTCTTAACCCTTAACTAAGAAAAATGGGACTTGCTGACAATAGGTGGTTTTACAGGCCTGTGAAACCCGACAGCATGTTCAGCAATGTAAACAATGGCAGCTGTCTTTTGCTGGCTTCTCTGTTGTTTGAAGTGTAATGAATCTGCTTCTCACAAATGGCTTTACCTGCTGACTCATCTTCCAGCTCCTAAACCATCTGGTATCCAGCATTTAATGCTGGGACTGAGGAAAAAGAGAACCAACGTCTTAGAATGTGAGGGTTGGAATAGATCATGGAAATCGTGTAACCCAGTCCCTTCTCAGATCACTTCAGTTATCAAAAAGAAATGTTATTTTGGCAGATGCCATGGTTGATAGTCTTATGAATTAATGATATTGCTATTCAGAGTGCCATTAGAATCTTCTGAATGAGTGAGGGCCTTTTTCTGTGTGGGAATCCTTGAGATGTACTTTCTAGCTTCCTTTAAAAAATAACATGTTATTCTGAAAGTGGCTGAACACTGGTTCAGGGGTAATACACATTTAACGCCTTCTGGACATTTTAGGAGGACTGTGGGAAGAAGGAAAAAGAGTGGTCATTGTCCTGGAAAATTTTCCAGTGCAATTAACAATTAGAAAAAGAAGTAGGGAACATTGGAACATTTAGGAATCAATTTATTATTGTTAAAGATTGTTTTTTGGCTGGGCTTGGTGACTCAGTTTGTAATCCCAACACTTTGGGAGGCCGAGGTGAGGGGATTGCCTGAGTCCACAGGTTCAAGACCGTAACTTGGCGAGACCTCATCTCTACAATAAATAAAAAATTAGCTGGGCATGGTAGTGTGCATCTGTAGTTCCGCTACTTGGAAGGCTGAGATGGAAGGATCGCCAGAGTCCAGCACGTCGACGCTGGGGTGGCCTTGAGTGTGCCACGGCACTGCAACCTGGGTGACAGAGTGAGACTCCAGCTCAAAAATTATTGAGAACCTTAAAGGGCTTTTTCTATGTGGGATATATTTGCTGATAATGACATCATTATAAATTAAAACACGTTTTAAAACATTTGCTTAAAAGAAAACCCATAGTATGGTAATGTAGTTTTT